TAAAAAAAAGTCTTCAAGTTTCTAAATTCAAAATTTCACCAATTCCATGATTAAATGTCGAATTCTGCTTAAGTCGGTGGTAGGGGGCGTAGACGGTAACTTGCACTTTTCAATGCCGTCCATGACAGGCTCATTTTGTCCTGTTGGACTTTCTTTAAGGATTCTTTATTTTTCTCTGTTTTATAATCATTATTCATACAATCCGATAAAAACGGAAATATAATTATTTTCTTTTAATTAAGAAACAGCAAAATCGTCGCTTGAAAACTGTAATGTTCTATCTCCAAATTTTCCAAAAACAAGTTAAATACACAATTGTATCCGTAATTGACTGTTCTATCTCCTTGGCATGTTATATTGGTACTTCAGAGCTTCATAAATGAATAACAACGAAACCATCCTGTTCTATCTCCACAAATTTAGTATGTATTGATAAATAGACTGTTCTAACTTACTGGACTAATCATATCATCGATAAATGTCACGTGACCTGTGGGATATATGCAACATACTGTTCTTAATCCAAAATTATCGTATCAAAACATAGCATAAAATCACGTGATTACAGGACATCCGCCATGTTGTACGAAACATTTTGAGTTAGATGTTTGCTGTTTATTTCATATATTAAATATAAGTATTGAATGATATTATGTATTCATTTATTCCCTCCAATCATTGACATTTTATTATTAAGTCCTGTAAATTTACTGCATGTGATTAAACAACAAGCAAAACTGATCATGATTTGAAAGTAATTTCGGATGTGTATTTTCGGATAGAAACAAATGTAATCATACAGTTTCATCAAACAAATTCGTAAAAAAGAAATTTGTTATATGTTCTAAAGTTTCTTTAACTTAAGGCACATTCTGTCTCAGAAACCAATTATTTATCTCTATAACAGACACATAAGAGTTAAAAAAACTGTAAGTAATGATAAATAGCATGCTAGATGCTTTTCGCCTGAATTATATACTTATGAATGAGAAATGTTTTAAAACAAAAAAAGCTAAACGTTAACAATGTATTTCAAAATACTTAATGACTGTAACTGTACTCATTGCCAATATGAAACAAAAGCATAAGATGGTTTAGGTTACTGACCAATTTGGAACATTTTGGAAACTATAACAGAACTCAGGCTTTTGAGTGATTAAGCATTTCTGGGGCAAAAAAGGCCTTTAAGAAAATGTATAGATATTATACGTTAACCTGTAATATATGTTTTCGAATACGTTAATGTTATTTATCATGTAACTGCTATGGTAACTGCCCGATAACACTTGCCTAATAATTATTTTTGATATCAGGTCAGTAACCTGATATCAAAAATAAGCCCCGCTCATTTTAACGGACTTTTTTTCAATTGCTTATATAAATACTCATTTTCATCAGCATGTGAATTCTACAATGTAATCTCATACCTTTACAAGTCTTGAATCAAGATGTGGTATTTATTTATTTATTATTTCGATTTTAATTACGAATAAATTAGATAGCGAATAGTTTTAGCACTAACTAAATGAAGTGACGTCATAATTTAGCCTGGAACCCCGTTGTATCGATCTATTAACCCATAAATCAGAACTGCATTTAAAAAATTCAAATCTTCCTGAATATTTATTTTGTATCATTTATTTTGATCCTTTTGCCATAATATTTACATGGCAAACATTACTGATATATAGTTTTTAGCTTTGGAATATACGGATATTTACAGACACGTCAAACTGGTTGATGAATTAGGTCACGCCATTATATCGATGCATTGTGAGAATCGCTCAGTTAGCCAACGTTTGGGAAGCCTGAACCATCTTTATGTTAGATATTTCAGTCATTTAGAATCAAAGATGTCTGTTTTAAAATGTCAGCATAAATTTAGGAGCTTTTAACAGACAGCAAATGTACTTGTAATAAGAACACATTATTTATAAGTCTATTTATTATCTACAACGTCTTACGGTAATGGAAACATGTTTTTGATCATTTTACTGCTCAAAAATAAATGCGAAAGATTTTCGTGACACTGTTGTAAATGTCAACAATCAGTAGGTGACGTATTTTGCAAAAAATCTAAAGATTTGTAAATAGATCGATACAATGAATAGCACGATACAATGGGGTCCCACTATACATTGCAAATGACATCATCGATGTTCACGTCATAGTATACATGTAATCATAACAAACAGGCTAGACGATTTTCTTTGAGAACTTGTAAATGTTTACTTTATTTCGCCGGATTATTATTTTATGAATGAACACATTGTTTCGTTTGAAAAATAAGACGCATGTTTGTGTAGCTTGTGTTTGATTGCCGATTTGACTTTTGTTTGATTGAAATTATCATGAACTTTTGACAATTCAAGACAAAAATTGCAGTAAAGTTAAGTTTATGTGATTCTTAGTGGATTTTTGGATAGACGTTTAAATTAAAGGTAAGAATTTTATCGTATTAGGCCTACATTCTGTTGTATCTTTTATCCGAGTCGAAAGAAAAAATGGCCGCCTACAAATCTACAAATTCTAAGTTTCAGGGGCGGAAGAATTTGTTTTCAAGAATTATTTCTTTGAACAAAAATCCCCCCTTTTACGAAATTCGCTATTTAAAAGCAGATTATTTTGTTATTTTGACAGTTATTATGTGTTACATGATAAATAGAAAAAACATGCTACTGTCTTTCGATATCAATTTTATCAGGCTCGGCTGATATGGGCAGAAAGGGCTCGGCAAGCCTCACCCTTTCTAGCCCATATCAGCCTCACCTGATAAAATTGATATCAAAAGACAGTAGCATGTTATTCTCTATATAACTAATAGATTGCTTTAAAGTAAACACATTTTATACCAAAGACAGAAGGAGGAAAATATTCTTATACCGTCTAATTATACGTATATTTTGTTTGTCTTGTAATTTGTCTTTGAATTTCTAAATTAATATTTATATAGCATTATGTTGTTTGTAATGTTTTTGTACACGAACAATCTTTTAAAATGACATTTTTCAAATATATGTCATGCATGCTCCACCTTTAAGGTCTTTTCTAGCAGATATGTTTTCATTGCCTACTTAAGTTATAGAAACATTTTTTACATACCTTCAATTAGAAGAACTTCTTACCAACACAAACACGTGTAAAGCGCATAACAAAATAATTACTACTATTTCATACTTTTGGAAGGAATTTGAATTTAACCATCTTTTGAATTTTCATGAAAAAAAATCTTGAAAGATTTTTCCAGCATTCTAGAAGATTTAAAAGTTTTCTAGTTTGCGGGTATAACTTTCTTTTTCCAGATATTGAATCACTTTGAATGTATTAAATTGTAATGGCCAAAGTTTTAAAAATAGATAAAATGTCTACAAAATTTATGTGGGTATTTTATCTTTATTTATTTAAATTATTTGTTTAAATGTCATTTAATAATGTTATTGACTTAAGGATTTAAATAATATTTTGAATGTCATAGTTCATGTAGTTAGATATGGTTTAAGAAATTGTGTAGTGTCAAAGTCAACTAATCAAGGGATAATTAGCCGAGAGCATTTTTGGCAGCCTTTTGAAAGATAAAACATACTGTTTTATATGATATAAATCAATTCAACTTAAAATACATAATGTTCTAAGTCACTCTGTTTTTAACAGTGTTTGAAAAAAAGTTACAAGGACTGTTCTTTCTCCAAATGTTTTTTTTTATGTTTTTAAGCAAGGAAATATTAAAATACACATATCTTTAACGATATTGAGATGATCTCTCGAAATCACGTTTAGTTGTTTTTAAATTTTCAAAACCCGACAATAAATAAAAAAAGTTATGCAATACTAAATCTTAACATGCTTTTTTCTAAAAGAAACAAAAAAGTGGCACTTAGAACAAAACGTTTTTCAAGCGACGAACTAATGACTTAAATGATAGTGCGCAAAGAAACCTTCCGTTTTAACTGAATTTGTTTGTTCCACTAGTCTATTTTTTTTCTGATCGCAGATTATGCATTGCAATGCTGACATTCAATCTTTGGCACAGAGCTTCAAACAATCCTAACAACAAGGAGTTCTCAAAACAGCTTACAACTAGCGATGTAAAAGTTAGAAAAAAATTCATTTGTTTCCAACAAATTACAATGCGTTCAACGTTTGAAAGCAGCGTTGCCTTATAGAATTGTCAACAAAAGCACAATCACAAATTACGCGGATGAATATCACATTAATCAATGCAAATCGCTCGGCAATTTCCGTACAGCTTCGGATTATTGTGATCGGAATTAAACGCCCCTTATGAACATTTGTTATTTAAACTTTCTGAAAAATAAAGTAAGGATGTTATGTTGACTCTCGGATTATAAGGGTCGAATTTAGGGCAATCGATGATCGATAATCAATTTCTACACCCGATAATTTCATCCACGTAAACAAAATGCTATTTTCATCAATGTCAATTACCGAAGACTTCAGAGCGTAAATATTACACAAATAAATCTGACTGTCGAGTAGTGGAATATATACATAACGGACTGTTTTGGCTAAATTATTTACATCAGTATTAAACAACAGTTTTATCATGAACAAAATACCTCGAAATTAAAAAAGGATTACAAACCCTAAATGGAAATTCTGAATTTATAATTATTTTATTTTATTCAGGCTTTCTTCGTAGAACGTGGTGCTCGTCAAGGATGTGAAAGGTCTGGGGTTCAAAACCCAGTCGAGGCAACTATTTTTTTTTAAATTCTTTTAAATGTATTTTTAAGGGAGTAGCCACGATATTCAAGGATAAAGTGTGGCTCTAATAAAAAAATGAACAGAAATGAATTTTTGATGCAACTCTAGCCTGCAACATTTTCAATTATGTTGTGTTGGACTTTCTTTAGGGATTCTTATTTTCTCTATCTAGTCATGCAAAATTCCATATGTATCAAACTCAAACTGTTAAAGTAAAAAATCTTGACGCAGTCGCTTCATTTCGGTGCCCTGCAAAATGAATTATAGTATATAAAAATAAACTTATACATGAAAATTCATACAGATATACAATACGATTTAGATTGCAAAGATCAGAAAATACCACAGAGCTTGACGCCCTTTGATTTACTAAAGTAAGTGTAGGAAAAAATTTAGTGGTGTAAAATTTTTCTAAAATTTAGTAGTGTTCGTTTACAACACGCATGCGCTGTGAATTTGGAAAAATAGTATGGCGGAAACTAGTCCAGGATAATATTTTCTCAAAATTTGAAGAAATTGCGGTAAATACCTTATGAAGTTTGTAACCAATAAGTAAATTATTGTCTTCTTAAATGAAACGTAAACATAACAAGTCAAAAATGAGTAACTCGCTTAGGTGAATTACCATTTATGAATGTTTTATCAATTGAATTTGAAAACGAAAGTTGGATTTTGGGGAATTTCCGCGGTATGACTAAATACCGAATATGAACTCATATTCGCGAATATGAATTCAGGGGACAGGGGACCTAAAAATGAACAATTTTGTATTTCAGTGTGACCAGAAACACAATTCCAAATATTTCAAAATCTGTTTCACAGGCAGATAACCAGTTGCACAGCATTATTCAATAATACTTCCCGAAAGTTGAAAAAAACTGTCAGACATTCGGTCTGACAAACCATGAAAATCTGTCGGACCGAAACAAAATCTGTCGGACCAAATAAAAATGATCAAAATATAAAAAAAACTTGTGTTAGTATTTCTAAGACATTTTCTGTTTTTTATTTTTTCGCCGTAAAAATCGGCACAATCCGTACAGCTCATTTTCATCTCCTCCCTGTCATACACCAAAGATTCATGGTTCTGCCTCCATTTTACATTAAATTTTATCTCAGGTCTCTTCTTTTCATCCTTTTATTGCTGTTCTGCGCACTCTTCTGACGTAGAGTTTCGGTTTTTCCCAGGTTTGACACCTTTAGCGACGCCATTTTGTATACATGCGGCTTGGATAAAAGCCGGACAGTCGGACCGATCCGGAATAAAAAATTGTCGGACCTGATCAAAATTTATCGGACATGTCCTTCGGACCGACATATTTCGGGAAGTCTGATATTAATAATATGACATACATTGAAGAAAATAATAGTTTGCATGCATTGCTCCTTCAAAAAATGACTGACAGCAATTTATATTTACCCCCACCCAGCCAAAATCACACCTAAAATATACCAATATGGGCAATCTTCATGAAGATGCAGCATACTCCAGAATCCGCCCGATTCCTTTAAAAATATCAGTAACACGCAGTGCAAGCTATGGCATTTTCAGAAATGACCAATAAAGTGTCTGTCATACGTTTAGATTTTTCACAAAATTTATCTGAAATTTCTTACTTGTTTGGCGCCAACTGTCAAAGCTTGATTTTTAACTTTTCACCTCCATTCGGAGAGTCAGAAATACATATAAAGCTACCAAAATGCTTAGTTTCGGGTAAAAACCCAAAAATACTTCTCATTTCCTACACACAAACAAGAAAGAATTACAATGACAGAGAAATACCAGAAGTTATCAGTACCTTCAAAACACCATGTCTGAGTTATAAAAAAATTTGACCGGGGCCATCATTCGAATATGTCCCCTGCCCCCTGTTCGCGAATATGAATGGGAGTACCGAATATGAATTTTATTTTCATAAAAAACAGCTGTTTTGGGATATTTTTCGTCCTCAGAGAATAGAGAATATCATTTACTTGTATCATGTCTTTGAATGAAAAAAAATTAGATAAATCTGACTTTAATTTGTTATAAATATTGTGACCAGAACGGTAGGCCTATCCGAATATTAACAAGAATGACGAAGATGAACATTAGGCCTATTGTTTATAATCTTCTAAAAGTATAGAAAAGAAAGTTAAAATTATATATGTTATGTTAATATTTGCTTTATTCAACTTTATTTCGTCACCACGGCCAGAATGATGTACAGTATATATACGTGTATATACATGTATATGTGAATACGAGGTTGTTGTTTTTTTTCTTTTATTTTTTTTTACCCCTATTGTTAATTATTCGGTCACTAATAAAAGTTTGAAAGAAAGAAACCTTGATTAAACATGGATGGCAATTTATATTTGCTAGGTTAATTGCAAGTTATCGCACCTTATAGAGATATATGTAATTCATATTCATGAACGAATATACCGAATATGAATTTTAAACATACAGTAACTCAATATGAAATTTGTTGGAAAAGTTTTGTAGATAGAGACTACCATTTACTGCATCATATCTTTGAATGAAATTAAATGAATTTAATGCATTGGTCCCAAATATCGTGACCAGAAATGAACGAGGCTACCGAATATGAAAATTATTTGAATATATGTTCAACAATATTTTACAGAAGAGAAAAATAGACATTGTATCTTTAATATGGTATGGTTTATAAATAAATTCTTTATTGAAAATTAAAGTAAATCTACATTAACTGCTTGTAAATAAGTCACTACGGCCAGAAAAATTACAAAAAAATATTATGGTATATGAACACGGGAGTTTTTATCAACATTATTATTATTCCCTTGTTATGAAAAAAAAATTAGCCAGATTGTTTTATTTCGGTCACTAGCAAAGTCTGAAAAAGAAGCATAAAACAGAAAAGAACCCCAATATTATTTTTATATATGAGCTCTGTTCTCAACAGAATATATAATTAACTTTCATATCAGGGAATGAAATTAAATTTTACTGTATTGGTTGCAAAATATCGTGCCCAAAAAGATTCCCGAAAGAGAACACCAAAAGCAAAAATTATATCTTTTTTATATCATCATCCCCTGTGGTTACAAATATTATATAGAAAGAACGAATCATCATAATTTGAACACGAGATTTTATATGAAAAAATACCTCATCGTTTTTGTTTTTGTCACTAATAAAAGACGGAAATAGAGATTTGTTTGAACATAATCTACCGGTTATATTTGCAAGATGAAATGAACTATTTTTTGTAAGTTAATATAGCGAGAAAGAATCCTGATATATACGAGAATACCAAATTCTAAAAAATGTAGAACTATTATTAATTGAAATATTGCTACTGCTACTGTTATTTTATATGTAATATTGTCAACAAGACATTACCTGGGGGAAAAAACATTATTAATTGCTGAAATATTCATAAATATATATAAAAAAACAAAACATTTTCGAAATAATAAATAGCAAAAGGGTTGGTCCAAAGTTAAAAAATGTCTTACTGAATATATATTCATTAACACCACTGGTGGCATTTTTATGAGAAATTGTTACATGTATACGCTTAATAGCGACCATCAGAAAAACTTGATAGAGTTAAACATCAAAAAGATTATAAGTAGAAAGTATATAAGACAGAACAGAAAAAGTATATATATAATTTATAATATGTCGACCACGGTGGTTAGGATCCAGCATATAAATATTTGTCAAAGGATCTTTCTTAAGACCTTACTTTTATTTATATGAAATATGTTTTTTCTTCTTTTCATTGAAATTCTACCTCAAGAAGCAGAGTTTCTTTGGAGTAAACGCTTTTATTTATTTGAAAACAGTATGTTTTCGAGATATTATTTGTTTGACAGATATATAGATGATATAATCATATATAATATATATATATTCTTTACCTGAGTTTTTAGCTTAGATGATGTTTTATATGTTTAATAAAATAAGTTGATCGTTATGATAACATGCTTGCGGTACACGAGTACCTTGCCAGTATTATATAAAATATTATAATTTAACTGATATATATTATTATTAAATAAATGGTATTGAAACTTTTAGTAACTTATACTATAAATATTTCTATCATCTTTTTCAATGATTATACATGTATTTTTATATCAAAGCGAGAAAAGGGCCATTTAATATTATAATAATAGATGCGACTTATTATACCAAGAGAGTCTAATTTAACTTATAAATTCATACATCTTTTTTCATGAGATTCATATGATAAAGGCTAAAGTGTACAACTACTGTATGTTAAGAAGAACATTCTGTTCTCTTAAATTTCCAAATATCATCGAAGAAACAATGCATATTTGTGATTTATGGTGTATAATAACAGATAAAACTCTGCAAGATCTATTTTAGATATCATATAACTTGTCAATTTTTTAAAGATATGTATTATACAAAGTTTCTTTTTTCTTGAAGGCATAAAAAATATATAAGGGGGTCAGTATACTCTTCCGTACATAAGTCTATTTTGACGGCACACAATCCTTTACAACATCAAAATTAGCTATATCATATACAATTTATATTATATACTGATATTTTTATTTATTTATTTATTTATTTATTTATTAATTTATTTATTTATTTATTTATTTATTTATTTATTTATTAATTTAAATAACTTTAATTTTAATCAATTACGTTTTTGCTAAAGTTATCTCTGCGTTGTGCCATTTCGCCAGACATATTACCTCAAATGCAATTACACATATACAAATTATGACACATTTTAAAACAAATTAACTTACAGTCAAACGTGTATTAAGCGACCGGGCAAGGGAAACACCAAAAACGGTCGCTTAATGAAACGGTCTCTTAAGACAGTCAGCATGATATAAAAGTCAAAATTTATAAATGACATCTTTTTTATTCGATGGGATTGTTTTTCAACTTCATTTTTATATAAATGTTGAATAATAAGTACGGTCCGATAATCTAAACGGATGCAAATGTAAAAATAACGTTCCGATATTTATTGACAAAACAGTTTTGATCCATTACGTACATGTTTGACATTTTTTCCAGAATTTTTTAACTTCTCCGTTGTTTTTCCTTGTCTCCAACACGAAAACCCTATTAGTGAAGATGTTTTCTGTTGTGCATTTTTTCATTTGAAATAAACAAACTACATCTATTTGTTACGATTAATTTAATGGCTGATCAAGTTCAAGGTCAATTCAATGCAGTCTAAATGTCAACAAGCGAAGCGTATACACCATCTCAGTATGGGCGGAGCGTTGCATTGTTTATCCGATATTATTGGATAATACACGTCACGCGTATACTTAACTTCATTTGCATACGCTAAAACGGTATGGGAAATAGAGTTTTTCACACGTTTATTGTTGTGTTTTGATTGCTGACACTTGTGACATAACGAGGTGGCGTTCTCTTAAAACACAATTACTTGACAGGTAAAAGTGGTCGTTTAATGAAAAGATTGATGTCAATTAGGTGACTAATTAGCGGTCGCTGGTTGCGTTGAGCAAAAGTCGCTTAATACATTAA